GGCTCAATCTTTGTATAATTCAGGCTGTTGACCTTGCACAGAACTTGTTTTTCCAAATCATAGATATGGGTTATCGCCCAAATTTGCAAATTAATTTGATAGATAGATATTAATGCAGGGTTAATAAACCTTACCAACTTCAGAGCTAGCCCAATAATAGCTGCAGCTTGCAAGAATTCAGCAAGTACCTAAATGGGTGGTGGTAGTTCATTGCATTCATGGAATGCTGCCCAAGCTAGTAAGCCAGAAAGCTGAGGTTGTTTATACACTAACTTCACCATTCTTGGCTAAATGAAAGTGTATTGGGGTTTTCCCGCACTGTTTCGATCCCGATTATATATATATATATATATATATATATAATGTTTATTAAAATATTGTTTATATTTTTTTAAAATATCTTTTTTTTTAAGTATACTTATTTTTCAAAAATTATTATTGATTATTTTTTTTTAGGGATTTGGGTCCCGGCATGGCACCTGTTTGGCTGTCTCTATCAAGGATCAGGGATGGAGGACAAATTTTATCCAACATGAATCAGATTGGAGACAAGAATTTATTTCAAAATTGGAGTGGGGACGGAAAACCCACCCCGTTGCCATTGCTAACCATAACCCTCCTCCCAAACAGTAACTTACTTTTCTCTTTAGAACTGGTTGCATCTGGATTACAGAATGGATTTGAGCTTTGATTCTATCTTAATTATGTGGAAATAAAATGACTACCTTTAGAAAGAATTTGAATTTCCATTTTATTTGTTTATTTATTTTGAATAATGCACCACCAAACAAGAAACACGTGTCCAAGTAACAAAATCCGGAGAATCTTTTTAGAGTTGACAATTCCATTTTGGCCTCCATTTCTAAATTCATCCTAATCCAAATACAGCCTTGCATTTTCTTTTCCTTTGTTTCTCAGTTACATTGAATTTGAATAAAGAACTATCATTAGCAGGGTAGTGGGTTTAGGGTTGCAAGGATGGACACGGGCCCATTTGCTTACACAATGCTGAGAGCCTGCTTTGATCACCTTAGATTAGAGTACAAAAATCGTCAAATTTTCTCTTTTTAGCTTTTCCCCTTTCCACGTGGCAAGGTAGTCAAATTCAATCAATTGACATTTGACTTGAAGATATTATAGCAAAAACTTGGAAATTACAGGTTTTGGGTAGGCGTAGGCCAAAAGCAGATAAACTAACTAATGTCTTCCAATGTCAAAACCAGGCGGTTCTAATTTAAAAATTTATTTAGCCCATTGGGCCGGGCCCACAAGCAACCGAGTTCCACTTGCGATTGGTGATTTGCAAAAAAAATTGACTCCCAACGTCTAAAGTAAACGGCCCACTGTTGAATGTTGATCCACGAAACCAGATGAACTTGGGTCATAATCCACCGTCGGAAGCGCTTTAGGTTTAGGGATGATGATCTATGTAGTACTCACTACTCAGGTAGGTTAGGTACAGTCCTTGACTTGGTAAGAACTCTCAGTATCCGTGTGTCGTTAAAACACTGAAATGGGGGGCCCGCCGGCCCGGGCCACGATTACCGATTAGATTGATTTGATAATTCAGGGAGCAGCTTCCCGAGGAACCACGTTGGAAATATCATAAAGAAAAAGAGAGGCCAACGGTATTTTTGTCTTCTTCTTGGCTTCGCAAATCGCAATTGCAACCTCTTGGCTCTTTAAGTCTCTAACCAATGTCCAAATGCCTCCTGCCACGTTGGATGATGAATGGGGATGACGTGGCTCCCGTCAAGCTATGCAGCAGCATGGGAATGATAGTATAATTAATGGCCCCAATTTCTCCAATGTTTGTGTTTCCCAAACCAATGATCAGATAGATAGATAGATAAATATAGCTCTCGTCGTCCGTATCTACCTAATTTTGAGGTCGTCTTTTTCATGAGGGGTCCCACATCATATCTATTTCATTATTTATAGGCCGCCCCAAACTCTTTAATTAATATATATAGTTGGGATGTTGATACAATCAATTGTGTGAACGACAGAAAAGACATAGCAAAAACTGCAATCCACTCGATTCATTCCCCCCAATTCCAAATTCCAATCCATCACTCCATATGCCTATGGAATATGGGACTGTGTAATGTCCCCCTTTTAGTGTTTTATGTTCAACACCATAATGATCCAGCCAGCTAGAGTCTAGAGTTTATAGAATCACTAAATGCTGCCCTTTCCCTCTTTCTTCTTTCTTCTTCTTCCATTCCATGGCTGCTCCTTCCTTTAATTCGCTTTGAGAATTTTAGAGTTGAGGCAGGCAGCATCATTCATTAATAGAACAAAATTTGTCCACCAGCCAACTAGAACACTAGTGTAGCCTCATTTGCTTATTTGGAGGTGGTGGTGTTGGACAATTGACAATAAGCACAATTCAGAATGCTAAAAGGCAACATTGATACCATATTTATGATTTAAGTCTCATTCAGCATTAGGACATGTTTGGAATCGTAGCCGTTTTTTAAAAAAACGTGTCACGTCGGATCCATATAGGCATTTCAACAAACACTCGTGTATTTCATTGTTCGGTTCAGCCGATTATTAAAAAATTGGGCATGCCTCGAAAATTGAGACTCCCACCGATGAATGAACCGTTTCCCCCAACGGTTAACTGATGTATATCCTATGTGGTGCTTATCTGTCATCACATACATGAAAAACGATGATGAAAATCACTTTACCAAACAACATAATGTTACTCACTGCCTACATGGCAGAAACATTTTTTTATAAAAAACGGATCTTGAAAGTATAAACATTTTTTCTTAAAAATCAGTCCCAACATATTAGTGACCTACTAATTTTATTAGGGTATTTGGGATAACCACATATATAACATATTCGCGTTGGGATGATGTTTTATTTTTTTTTCCTCACCCTCCTCTAAAAAGGTTATTACCCCTGACTTTAAGCCTTTATTGTTTTTTTAGATTTTGAAATCTTTTTTTCTGAATTCCACTTCCGGTGAGTGCCGCCTATTTCCATCTTTTACTATTTCTTCCATCCGCAGCTGTTAAATGATGTCACCACATATTCATTCCCCGGTCCACATCAGCTCTATACCTACCAGGCTGACGTGGCAGGGGCCTAAAACTTTCTCCATCATTCTAAGGTTTACAGGGGAACGTGTCGGGTGGGGGGCTGGGGACCTCTGTTTTTTGTTGCTACCTGCTGCTTAGATTTCATTCTCATCAATCTTCCGTGCCATTTAGGTTTCTTTCTTGCCCCGACAGAAGCAGTTTTTCTTTGCCACGTTCGGACTTGCGGAGGCCTAGTGGGCTAAAACATGCAACATGGAAAGGTGATTTGGAGAACTTATGAACCCATTGTGAGTTTTCTACCTGTCAAAATGCTGTAAAGCAGAACCCAAAATTTCAATAACTACTACCCCAACTCCTCAAACAAGCTATACTTTGTCTTCTTATAGTTATAGAGGAATGCTAATCACGCCCATCAGGTCAGGCCCCACAGGGAGTTCCTGCTGAACCTTTGTAATGATAAACCCTCTGGATTAGAACCTTACCAAATGCGTTCTTCTATTCTTGACCTTGATAAAGCTAGTGCAAGTGGCTAGAGCAAATGGAAGCAGTCAAAATGAAGAAGAAAAACGAGTGCAAGTTGACAAATGGATATGTGATTCAGAAACCATGTTCTTATCTAAAAGCTTGATGCAAAAAAAATCATGCATACTGGAATCTATCTACATTCATGACTATGCTAACTGTAGATTGCAGCCCTGATGCTACATTTTATAGACAATGGATGACACAGCTTTGTCTCAAGTTTATTGACTTTGGTTCTACCTAACAAAATAGGATCAAGCCCTTAAAACAAAATTAGTGTTAAATTAATCCTTAAGGTTGCGGATGAAATTATTATCTTCTAATTCATGGAGTGGTTGATTTCACACAAGCACTATGGAGAACTCATGGATGGAGTTAAGGTGAATTGACCCGGTTTTTACCTGTTCATAGGATGCCCACCTCCATCAAATAAGATTATTATAAACCAACACTGATATGATGCCACCATTCAACCTGTTTTAGTATCATTTTAAAGCTGAACTTAACCAATTAATATAACTACTCCCTGACTTCCATAAGAGAAGCTTTCTCAATGGGAGTTGCAGGTCCCATTTTTCCCAAGCTGGGAGGGGTTTGAACTTCACACACTTGGATGCACAAGAAAGATGAGAGGAGAAAAGGATAGAGAAACAGAAGAAAAAAAATAAGCATAATAGAAGCATTAGTCTTTAGAACAAAGGTATGTGAGTACTACTCCAAAGTTAAAGAAAGGAAGATATCCATATATAGTAAGTGTGATGGGTTGTCATATTTCGTGGTAGGTGACTAAACAACCACCTTGAGCTCACATGCCATCTTGCAACTTGTATATTCTGAAATGATGAAGTGTCATTAACCTTGTTTCCTCATCACTTCACAACTGAATCATATCCAGCTTAACATCAAACTTAAAGGTAGCCTAACCAATTTCCAATATCCATTACGTTCTCAAGATAATCTAACTACTCGAACAGAAAACTTCTAATATAAATATACTGTTTTTTCCCTACCTAGTTGAATCTACTAAAAAAAAGACAGAATCTAGAATATATCCCCCCCCTAGCTTCAGAAGTAAAATCACCCAGCAATCTTCTTCTAAAAATGAACTCAAACCCAATCTGATGCATCTGTTGAAACAGTGCATTTGATTGAATTCAACAACTTCAACAGGCTATACTGAAATGGGAGGATGAAGTTGGTTCTCCAGTTTAGTTAATCATGGAGATGGTTGTATGCCAAGACATTGTCATCTATTATAAAAACCACTGTAATTAATTCATAATAACAGGAATTATCATAGATGTTCTCAACAAGTTGCCATATATGAACATAAATCAAGTCTCAGTAATAAAAATGCTTTCAACTATGTACACACTTAAACTAAAAAAATTCGAGAAATGAGTGCAACCTCAGCCTATAGAACAGAAACAGAGAGCAATCTGAGTTCATTTGGAATTAGAGAAATTACACTGGAAGAAGAAATATAAAACAAAACCCAATTACAGTATATAGTTTCAAGTTGAAACAGATTGATGAACTTAAAATTTTGTGACAATGTAGATTTATTCTGAGATTGGAAAACAGAAAAGGCAAAAGGGGGTGGATGGAAAGGCAGAGAGAGAGAGAGAGGGAGAGGAAAAATGCTACTTAGTTGATTTAAGCAGCAAAGGGAACTATTACCTCAATAGAGCATATGCTTGGATATGAAAAGAATTAATGAAATAATATCAACCAACTTGTCTGTACACTCTTGCATCTTCATGGGAAACATGACCAGTCTCAGGTTACTCAGTTGGAAATCAGACCTACCAGCGGTTCATGTTTGTGGTTGCTTCCAACCCACCATGGGTTAAACCCCACGCGGCCACCGTTGTCTTCCTCAGCAGGAGCAGGAAGATTGAGATCTAGTAGATCACGAATCTCAGGAAGCTGTTGTTGAATTACAATGGTCTGATTCCCTCTGGCTTCAGAGCCCCCAACCATATGGGACCGTTTGTGGCCGCCCAAAGCTTGGCCTGACGTGAAAACCTTGAAGCAGATTGGACATTCATGCCCCTTACTCTTCTTTGATACAGAGCTTGCTTCCAAACTGACAGCACCATCTCGATCTACCAGGTTCTCATTACTGCAAGACTTAACAAGTTTACTGTCAGCTGTTGGATCAGGAGAAACATCTGTCTCGATGCTGTTCTCACTGCTCTCAACCTTTGAAGCAAAACATCCTTTGACCTTCTTGTGGCTGGCTCTGTGCCCCCCGAGAGCCTGGTAGGAATGGAAGATCTTGTTGCAAGTTGTACATTCATACCTGCTTTTCTTTTGAGTCTCTCCGTAGATTTCTGAATCCAAATCATCATATCTTATCTTCTTGCTGAAATCGCCTCCCAATTCAGGATCGTAAGCATCAGTTCTGGTTCTCTTGCTGAAACTGAACTTCTTAAACTCTGAATCAGACCTATCTTTTCCGGTTTCTTTGACAAAATCTTTCCCCAATTCAACTTCAGAATAGTCCACTGTACTCTTTTTACAATTGAATCTTTTTTTATTATCCTTCCTCATCAGTTCCATATCTGACAACTCAAAACCAGTTTCGTCATCCAATTTAGGCTTCTTAAACTCATCATCCGTGAGAAACCCATCAACAGAGACTTCTGATTCCCCCTTCTTGATTCCTTTCCTCAAAACTCCAGAATCAGAAACACCGCACTCAGATCTTCCCTTGTCGACATGAACATTCTCAGGATCGGAAACAACAGAGTCTAACCGCCTGTTTCTTGGTTTCTGCATCTTCACAGTCTCATATACATTAGAAGTAAAAACTTTGCCTCCTCTTCTAGTAATTCGCTTATCTATGCCGGATGACCTAGCTTCTAAAACTACAGAATTGTTATCAGAAGACTCTCCAACAGAATTCAATCCACCCCAGTGACCCACATCCCGAGACAGCATCATCAAACACATGGCCACCTCCTCCTGTTCTTGCTCAATCTCCGAAACAGAAGAAGAAGCATTAGCGAAAGAGAAAGAAGATGAAGTTGCAGTAGCTCTATACCTCATTCTTCTTGATCTCCTCCTGCGCCTTGGAGCAGCAGCTTCGTTGTCAGATTGGCTGTCCATGACCACCTTCTGGTTTTCACAAGTCCACGAATCATCTTCCAAGCTGTTGGAGACCCTCTCTCTTTCAGAGTGGCATCTCATGTGACCAAAGAGAGCTTTCCATGACTGAAATCCTTTACCGCATTCTTTACAGACCTTCCCTTGGCGCAAAGCACCATCGCTTGAATCCGAAAACCTCCAAGTCTTCTTGGGGTTCTCTCTAAGGCCATAACCAGCGTGATTACCAGCTTCGCAACCCATGTAGTTATTACTGTTACTTTCACCATTAACAGAAGAAACCTTCTTCCTGCCGAGCTTGTCCTCGGTTTCAACTGAATTCATAGTCATATGAGACCTCATGTGACCTCCCAAGGACCTCCCACAGGGGAAAGTCTTCTTACAGAACTTGCATACATGCTTCTGCTCTTGATCTTCTTCCATCTATTATTTCGAAACCAACAACAGGAAAATGGGATGCCCAGATCAGAAAAAGCAGCAGAGAGCTCAAGCCTATCGAAAAAAACTGCAAGAACGCTTGAATTCTCGATCTCATTCCATCGTTACAACCCAAATGCTAGAGAAATAGAGGAACCCACAAAAGTTGAGATCAAAAGAGCAAAGTAGGAGCTCAAATCTGATAAGAATATCGAATCAGATCACGAGTTTTCAGCTTTTTTAACTGATCAAAGATGAACCCATCTCAGATTCCAGAGGTCTTCGTGATCAAGAACAAGATCTGATACACATAAACCCACTGAATTAGGTATCCTTCCCTTCGCTCTCTCTTGGGCAGTTGAAAATTGCAGGAAAAGTAGAAAATCAAATTTGAAGAGATGGGTCTGTGACATCAGTTGTTAATGATGGCAATGAACAGGCCAGAGAAGAAAAAGAACTACAAAAGAAAGAAGAGAGCTTTCTTCTCTCTATCGGTCTATCGCCTCTCTCTCTCTCTCTCTGCTTTGGTGCTGCCTATATTTGGATTTTGGAGGAGAAATCCATGCATGGAAGCAAAGATAAAAAGAGGAAAGGAAAGATAGCAGCACGTGTACTCAACCGAGAATCCTACGCCATTCCATCTTACGGTTGGGATTTCTCCATTTGAGCAATCCCTAAGTGTTGGGGCTGCCCCACTTAAAACTAACTGCCCCCAACTATTCCTTCCTTTGTCTTTCTCTTTAGGAAATAGCAATCCCCACTGAGCCACAGGTGAAAGGTTCGAATCTCCACCCAAAACAACCTTCATTCTTTGGACTTTTTCATTATTTTTCTCATCCCTTCTTTCTTTACCAGTAACAATTATTTCAATAAAAATAAAACAGAAAAAGAACCCACCTCCCCTTCCAAAATTTTTCTTCACTGTGTTTAGTAACAAGTCTACAAGGCTATAAGCATTACCCATTAATTCGATGTAGATTTATCTCCAGAGTTGTGGAGTTGTTGTCTGGTTTTTTAAATACTTTAGTCTTTGGAAGCTCAGGCTAAGACACAAACCCCATGTTTCATCTTCATTATTTAAATGATGAAATGTGTCTGGGGAATTTGGAGCTGCGTTCCCTCGTTTCTTTTTATATTTTAATAGCTTTTGGGAGGTTTGGCTGTTAATTTCTGACGCTTATATTCACTGTTACCTTGTCACAGGTTGGCCAACAGTTCTGGGCACAGGGATCTGACTTCTGAGTGACGGTGCCGGCCTTGTTCTTGATTGATTGAGCCGCTCTTATTGCACTAACTGTAATGAAACGAAACCATGAAAGTGTCTTATTAACAACTGTTTATTTACAACTAGACTTTGATGGGCAGGTTCCCTTCTGCTCTGTCTCTCTGTCTCTGTCATCTCTCCTTGAGGCTTGAGAAACCAGGCCGAAAGTACCCACATGTGAGGTGTCACCTTTTAACCGAAGGGTCGTGCCAAAAGCCACAAAGGGTGATCCTTCATCTGTGCCAATGCAAGGTTGGATCCGAGCAGTGAGGGGATCCCAATTTAGCTTTAAATAGTGACTTACAGATGAAGGCAGCTTGGTAAACCAATCACACCTCATCCTTCCATCGTCCTGCAAATGAAACCGGATTCACAGTCGGTGCAAGGTCCGTTCCAGGCCTTGCATTGGGAATATCTCCCCATCAAATATAAAACACAGAAGTAGTGTAGGATGGGTGTTTGTTCAAATTTCAAAGTAGAAAAATTCAAGCATTTCTGAATGAATCCTTCTTAGAGAGAGAGAGAGAAAAAAGTATAAGGGAAACAGTCGCTAGTTATGCTTATGCATAGTTTATTTTGCCTTTTTTTTTTTCTAATTGAGATGTATAAGCACCGGCCTGTGTGAAATGTGAATGCATGATATTGTATGATTTGGTTCCTTGATTAATTATTGATCAATAGCAAGCTTAATATAAGAAGGAATTATTAAACTTTCAATTGAACTGAAACAGGGATGAATAAGGAGAAGTTCCTTTCGGGGAACAAAATGATTGAAAAGGAGTTCTTGTTTATCTTTTCAAGCTTTCAATTTTTTAACAACTGTTTTTTTTTTTTTTATTGATTTGTTTAGTAGTTTTCACGACAAACATCATTTATAATTCATACTTTAGATGTTCCAAGTAACTAATACTGACACTTTTCCACCAAAAACAAAACAGGAAAAATTATTTGATTCCAACCTTTCTCTTACACTCTAAAGAGATATTCAAGCTTTGCTAAATCTACTAAAGACTCCAAACTTAAATCTCTAATAAACTAAAAAGTAAAATGGATCATTATCAAGTGAAGTACAAATATTGAGGAGGTTGCAAAATACAGTTCTACTTTTTATACTTGAAATCACAATATTGGATAAGTATGTATTGAGAAGTATGGAGTTTAAACTTTAAACTGCAGAGGGAAAGTAGGTACTGGTGATGAAAGATTGCCACATGGCAAGAATACGAGTTTCACTGCTGGTGAAGCTAAATAAACAATAAGACCCACCTTCCATATGTATTACACCATGTAAAGTTGCTAATAATCCTTTATTCACAGTCAAGATCCCTCGTATATGATGCTTAAATTGACAGCTTGGCCTCTTTCAAGGCAAGGTTGGTCATTTACTTTCTTTTACTATACACATGTAGCATGTTTTGAGAAGAGTTTGCTAAGGTCCTTTGCCCCCTTGTATCACTCTCCTCGACCTAACCCTAGAACAACCATGAGAACATCTCAACTCCTTTCACTAGTTCTGTCCACCACCCATTACCCAATCTTGTACTCAGTGTCCTTTTATCCTTGGTGGTGAATGGTGAATCATCACCACAAATTTCTGCTTTAGTTGCTAACTGATAAGCCAAGTTGCCCAAAAGAATTTGTCCAACCTAGAATCAGCTATGTTATTTTCTTCTTTTTGTTGGTTTAGTTTGGATCCTCCCATCTATATCCTCTAAGCTCACCAAATGATGGTACTGGTTGGCTAATAACCCTCATGGTATTTGAGTATTTCCTTAGCCTTCCACTGTGATTTTTTTGACCCACCATGGACTTGACTTGAGCCTGCTTTAGGGCTCTTTTTTTCCTTTGATCCTGCTGACTCTCTTTATTTAAACATGGGACCGATTCTAGTGCTTCTCAGCTTTGACCTGACCAATTGCAACATCTATTCATTTCACTGACCAATTCATTGGGCACCTAAATCGTAATGTTGTGATACATGCTACATGACCACATCTTAAGGTTGTAGTCATCTCAAGGATTAAGACAAAGTCTATTAAGATATTTTGGGGACGAGACAACCCAGTAGGAACGGAGTCATGTGTGGCAAACCTTGACGTCCTGATCGGTCCATGGGCTGGGTTCCAGCTGCCTACTTTCCCACTACTTCCCAAAACCAAAAACAGATCCAGAGATCCATGACTCAAGGGCAGCCTCTCACATGGTGATGATCAAAGCAATAATTTAGCCATGTGTCCACCCTCCTATTCTCTGCCTTGAGCAATAGTTTGTTAATTTGTGAGGCCGAGTGTCGCCAGAACATGGTCCCTTCCTCTTTTTCATTTGGTCAATTGGGTTCAGGCCAGGCTGATATCAGCTCTTGCATTTTGAAAGCTACAAGAAAGTTATACTAATTAAGTTCATATTAAACAAACGAACTTTAATTGAAGCATGGCTAAGTCTCGGTGTGTTTGGCCCCCACGCATGAGCTGATTGAAGTAGTCAGATCCCTGAAATTAGTTTCACAGAACAAAATAAAATACTAAAAACTAACACAGACCCACAAGGTCACAGCTAGAGTTAAGTGTCCAAAGACAATGCATAATTCACATATAAGTGGAAAGAGAATCAATCTCTCATTTAATCTAAAAACTGCTTGAAACTAAGGTGATAAATATAGATTAAGAATACTTTGTTCTAGCAAATCTGTTGGTTTAACAAAAATTTAGATTTTAGAGTGGGACGAATCATGTACAAAGTGAATAGGGAGGATGAGAGACAGGTTGTGAGTTTTGGTGTTTCAGAGAAAAAGGGTGTATATAAAACTGAATGTGCAGTCCACCACCCATTTTAAAAAATGCACTAATCATAAAGTTGCATGTGTAGCGTTGTATGGATCATAATGGTGCATGTGTTGGTGAGCAAGTTCTCACCAGCAATGCTTTGGGAGTACTCAAATGGGTCAATGAAATTCAAATCTTAAAGTCAAGTGGGTCCTACTCTTTTTCTAATTTATGTGGAAGATGCGGTGGTTTTAGGTGAAAACCATAGCAACTATATATGGCTCTAATTTGTCTCTTTGTATCTTTGGTTAAACTAATAAGCAAGGTTTTAAGCCATTTCTAATGTAAAGGCATGTGGGCTCAGGAATCAAATTAATTTTGGATCAAGTAATAAATAAGACTCTAGCCTTTACATTACATCATTAAAGCAAAAAATTTACAAGCCCCTAGTTTTGCTGGTGGGAGATTACTTCTCCATTAATTCCCCCCTCCAGCCTGCAGAGTCCAAGCTCCCTTTGATTTGCATTTTGCAACCCCACCCCCAATTTCGTCCCGAAGAGGCGAAGACGGAGGTTTTGGAGCTACATGATGGGGAGATACTCCATTGCATTACTCACTATTTATGGCATATTCGGAGGACCCAGATCCATGACCAGGACCGGATATGGGACCTACTAAGAAACTCCATTAATGCCAAAAAAGTAGCACCATTGGCATTGGATGATTGATTTCTAGCCCAACTATAGGTTTAAATTTAATAGAGGGAGTGACAAACACTATTTTTGCATGTCCATCAGTGTTGTGAGGTGATTGCCACTCCTTTTCCATCCCCAGGAACAAATGTTCTGGACAACTCTGAAATTCCTATCGATCAGCAACATAAAGGAGGTATGAATTAATTAAAGGCTAGTAGATTAACCAGTCGGGCATCTCTGAAGTCAACCAAACCCATGGGACTTGGCTATTAACCCCTGAATGATCTCATCTACTTTATCTTTACTCTAGTAAAGTTAAAAGACCGTGAGAGTAGGACATGTTCAAGCAGGAATTAAACCACATTATGATACTGATCCCGAGATCAGACTAGAATTCACCACGCCCCAGGTACGAGGGGATTTGCCCCTTAAATTCTCTTTTCATATAAATAAATCTGTGAAGCATGACTGCATGGGCAGAAATCTCAGATCTATCTAAATCTTGATAAGAGAGTGAGAGTCCAATCTCCCAATTTACGAATATATAAAGTAAACAAATTGCTGATATCTTTTCCGGCATTTTTTTTTTCTTTCTCTATTAGTTCCCATGTGGGTGATTAATTATTACCAGGTTTTAAGCTAAGCTTCAACTGATACCGATCATAATGACCATATAGTGTTAATTAACAGTAGAGGGTTCACATTAATTTAATGGTCTTCTTGGCTTCTTCTTGTGCCGACTGAGGAGGAATCTAACAAACAATACAACTTAAATTTAATTTCGGGTAATAACGAATGGTGGACAAAGAGTTGGAATCCACTGACGTGGTGGATGGTAATTGGATCTGGATAGGGATATTAACTTTATAAATTAAGTCTACCAAAAGAAGGGAGGGAAGGAACAGTAGAGTAGAGTGGATCTCTTTATTATGCGCGCAAGCGAGCAATAAACGTGGACATGTCAAGTCTTCCAAGGGGCATTTGATATTACAAAGAAGAAATAAAATAGTAAAGCACACACACACTCTCTCTCTCTCTCTCTATTATATCCATCCATGTTAAGTTTTAAGAGAATGAAATCATACAAGGACCTCTGTATGGGCGTATGGCAAGACAGTCCTCCCAAGTCCTAAATCCAAACCATGTGGCTAGTCGCCATGGATCATACAGCCAGGAGCCAGCCATTATTGTTATATGTTTTGCTCGAATACACCAAGCTTTGACATTGACAAACAAATAAAAGAAGCAAAATGAGAAACATTTTAAAGAATAGAACAGGTGGACTTTGTATAATAAACTTCCTTACACAGGACACATGAAAGTCAAAAGTTAATACCCCTTTAATTTAAACACCCACGCCCCTCCATCGGTTAATAACATGGATCAATGCATCATCCCCTCCCAAGCAAGAGTCAAACAGGGGTTTTGCACAAATCACAAATAGCAGTTAGATCTCATGAGAGCACCCTCAACTCCAACACACACACACTCGTGCAAATCTAACCACCACCTAAAACACTATTTTACAGTGAAGGGAAGGTAGAGTGCTTCCCCTCTTCCACCATATGAATGTACAAGGGAAAATTGGATTCAAAGAATTTCCAAAACTAGATGCATGCTTGGTATTTTACCAAAGGCTGCCTCCGATGCAAGATAAAAAGATGGCAAGAAAGGGGAAAAAAACACTTTTGCACTTAGATTAGCTGATCCTTTTGTCATCCCTCTCCTTGTTATTCCAAGCTTCCTCTTCAATCATATTACACATTGGCAAGAGTTCAACATCTTTCTTTGGACCAATGACATACCCATCACCCCAAGGTAGAGTGCTCTCCAAGTGTTTACCATTACCTCTCTCAAGTCGACTACCTTGCAGCACAGCTCCTGCTGGATCAACTGGACCACATGAGCTGACCGCATTGGTCTGACACTCATATGACGTGCATGAGTCATCTTGAACATCATGATCCACCCTACCCAACTGTGGATTTGTTGACACAAGATTAGCTGCATCATCAAAGCTACAATCACCAAATGATTTCCCAATACATGCCTCCGAAACTTCATCCTCTTCACCAGTAGCATCTCTATCGTTCTCCAAATCACTGTCGTCGTTGTGTTCACAAATTTCATCTCCATCTTCATCATCCTCATGGAAATCCTCTTCAGGGACCTCCTGGTTATAAGAAGGATCGTCTTGACCAACAGGAGACTCCACTACTGAGTCCTCATCTTCCTCTGTCATCCCAAACTCCTCGTCACCATCATAGTTTCCATGCCATTCATCATTGTCACTGTCAATGTTCATCGGATCAACTCTGTTCTGTTCAGCTCGTCTCCGGAGCATAAAGACATTAAAGTAATAACTGACGAGTTCACTCTTTGTTCGGGAAGGAAAGACCACCGAGAGATGGTCCCAGAAGTTCTTACCCAATGATGCAGGATTGGAGAAGACAACCTCGTGAAATGACTGTTCTTCCTCTTCATTCCAATTCCTTGCCACCTCCTCTCCCATATCACAGAACCCCAACTCCGCAAACTTCTCTTGCCCAAGGGTTTCCCTGAGCTTTTCTCTTGTTTCCATGATGTGTTGTTTTACACATCTGATTGAACCCCCATCTGGACAGCTACAAATAGTTCTACCACAACCAAAATTGTCACTGCTGTACACGGACTGTTCCAAGTCAGGCATTGGAATTATACAAGTCCCCATTAGCTTATCATCAGTAGTCTCTGGAACCATGACTTCAGCACCAAAACAGTGGGTATCCTGGAAGCCCCATGCTGGAACATTCGCTTGATGATCAGGTCCGACTGCAACAAGTTTTCGAGGATGATAATCCAAAGGGGATGAATAGATCTCCTCAGACTGAGCTAATACCGTAGCTGGGTAATCAGGTTCATAGTAACCAGGGAAGAAAGGTACTCTATCTGTTGCCTCAGACCTGGAATCTTCTTCACTAGTACTGCTGGTGGCCCATGACAAGCTGGAAATGCCAACGGGGGCAGTTATCTCCAAATCCTTGCCAGCCCCGATTGAGAGTTCGGTGATAGTGCCACTTTCAAGCCTTTCATCACATTGGCCCTTACTGCAATCACTCTCACCAACTTCAGATCAGATTAAGGTCAGTTAGTAAACTAAAATTATTTGGCAAATAAACACAAGAGAAGTCTAAAGACCAGGACTTAAACCACTCCAAAGTTTCCCAGCTCCTGGTGAGACCTAGTAGATCTATTATGTCCAAACTTGATACCATCAGGATAATCATGATCGAAGGTGTCCATATCATCCAATCAGATAAAGTTTGGATTAGGAGATCTAATAGGTAATACCAATTAAATGTTAGTGGTCCTCTTGTGTTCTCCACAAAAAGAGGCCATGTGCTAAATATTCAAAAGATTACAGAAAATTAGTGTTTCTTACCCAAACTTAGAGGATTTTGAGGCATGTCATTATAAGAAGTTATATCTGCAAACGAAGCCAGTTGATTACTATATTCCAGCTGCCTGGGGTGCTTACAAGCAAGTTCGCACGACTCTTCATCACCGAAAGGCCTTTTGTATACCATGTTTGACCTGAAAATAAAGCGTTAGACAATTAAAGTTACAAGGTCCAAAGGAAATAATGGAGCGAAAGAACTTATATATGAAAGTGCAAAAGAAGCCAAAGCTTAAGATTTGAATCATCATGTAACTTATTTGTCAAGAAGAAAACAAGAGAAAAACGCATCTGATGATCGCATAAAGAGTACAGCATTTTCTTAGTCAAATACTATTAAAAGTTGATTGGAACGTAAATTCACCAATCACCACTTCCTAACAAAAGGGAACATGCCCTTGTATCACTATTTTTGTTCACTGGGGAATAGGCCAGCACATGGTATCCATTTGTCCAAATTCAGTCTGATTAAGGCAATCTGAATTCAATCAGTTTATAATTGAATCAAAATATGGATACACTCCAATCCAACCCCAAAAAGATTTATTTGGGGGAGAGATAAGAGGGTTTATCTCTCTTTGACTGTTTTCTCTTGTTGTACTCACTATTCACTTAATTCCATTAATAAATTTCACAGTTATTGATAAAAAATGCATTTAATAGTAAAGTTGTTTTAAACGTTGTATTTTACTGAAGAGTTATAGTTTCAAGCCCGATAAAAGTCATTTTATTTTCGATATACAATATCAAAGTCATCAATTAAAGACATCATCATCAACAGCATCTAAGCCTTGTCCCAACCATATAGGGTCAGCTGCATCTACTCATAAATTATGGCCCTTGAATCATTTCTCACTACTTCAACCGATGGCGTCTGCCCAACCTCTTCTAGCCCCTTCAAATTGTAACAAATCACTTCTTTTTAAGTCAATTTCAGTTCATTCTGTTAATAATATAATGTTCTGATCATTTTTAGTTTATTTGTTAATGGTGTTCAAAATCCAAATTTGATAAAATTCCAATCTAAACCCTATGGATAAGATTTGATTCAAATTCAAATACTATGGAATCTAATTTGGATCTAAGCATATCTAATTTGGCCCAAACCTTTACCAGCCCTACTGCAGAGTATCCATAGCAACCAAATGACAAAAAATCAACATGACATGCTTTGATTCCCATTCAATATGCTACAAAACATCATGTAGACTCCCACTTTCCTTGATTGTGGGTCCAATCCTTGAATTATCAATATTACTCCAACAGAATAGAAATCAAGACACATATGACCATGGTTTTGAAAACCGGACCAGACAGTCAAACCGTTTGACCCAAGAACCAGTCATGGCTCTGGGTCCGGTTTTGGAACCAAGAACCATTCAACTGGGGTTTTGACCCAGGAACGAGTGGCCAAAGTGGTTCCGTTTCCAATGCAGTTTTCAAAACCATGCATGAGATATTTGGTTCCTATTATGTAAACTACAGTGTGCAGTGTAGACTTTGCTGCACTCCCCAACCATGAGGCCCACGCCTTGAATTCTTAATGCACCCCAACAGGCAACAACATGATAAAGTGACATTTTCCCTATTATCCTTCATGAGAATATGCAGTAATAAACCAAAATCTTGGGGTTTCTGAGGTTAACATCAGGGACAAGATATAGCTACTAACCGGTAAAAATGGTATATAGATGTTAAAAGTAGTTTTGGACCCTGAACCATGATCCTATGACCTTGGATCCAGTGCTAAAGGCCTTAATATGAGCTTTAATGCTGCTATTCAAAATAGCAGCATTGGAGCCACAGCCACCAGTTGAAAAACATTTGACATGGTCTACGGTTGTGCCAGGCCCGACATAATCATGCGGGCCGTGCTAGGCCTGGGGTTTTAGGTCCACGGGTTGGACCGACACAACAAGACCGAGTGGGCCGTGCTTCCTACGGCCCGCGTACAAATTTATATATTTATATAATATTATTTAAATTATAATAATATAATAATGTATAATATATAATATATTAGTAAAATAAATATATATATTTTTTAATTTTATTATACTAATTTATTTAACTATTGTTTATATAAGCAATTTTATACATCAAAATTCATATAAAATTAAAAAATTTAAGTTTTTCGTCATTTTTTTAAATAAATAGCTTTGGCCCAAGGCTCAACCCCATGCGGACCTGTGTCGTGTCGTGTTGGGCCGACCCCCCAAGTTATCCCTAAGGGGGTGGCATAGCTTGAGACAGCCCGCGGGCCGCCCGGCATGGCCCGTTTTACACCTCAATAGGTAGGTTGGCCTAATCGTCATTAGTTTTATCTATGACTGCTGGCATAGATAAAAAAAATGCTGATTCTTCTGATTTTTTTTGACAATTTGCACGACAAGAAAGAATTGCAAATGGATCAATCAATGATCTTTTAAACTCATTGATCTAACAATAATTTATTCCAAAAATGAAAATTTTCTTTAATTTTTAGGAAAATTTTAAAAAATAAAAATCATTTATTTTACATATTCTAAATGGTTTTCATTGTAAGGAAGAACTATAAGATGGATTTATCAATGATCTATTGAACTCATTGATCCAACAACAATTTAATGTGCCTTGTAGTGAACTTTTAGTAGATTGGAAGCTCAAACATTTTTTGATGTATTATTAGTAAAATTATTGTATGATACATATACTGTTTTATAGTCCCTTAGTATGGTTGATTATAATGCATCTCTTTATATAAACTATGGAAGTTTGCATTTCTTATGTGCTTATGGCTAATTGGTAATTATTTCAGATTGAGATTTATTATTATTGATGTTTTTATGGGATTTGTAAGAGTTTCTCCAACGTATCTAAGTGTATCCATTTCTTTCCACCATAATGTGTATCCGAAGTATAAAGTGATGTGTATCCATATTCAAGCTTACCAATACGATACACAATACCAATACTTTGAACCTTGCTAAGCACCATCAGAAACTGAACTCAAAAGGTAAATATATCACCATAGACTTCTTAGAATGATTATCTTGTCAGGGTTGCAACATATTAAATTTAAAACATTCCACCCACTTACTAGGTACCATAAGTTAGCCTAACAGAAACAGAACTCAAAAGGTAAATATATCACCAAAGACCTCTTAGAATGATTAATTTATTGGGGTTGCAAATTTCACACATTAAATCATTCAATCCATTTCTTGCTTTAAAATCATAAATACAACCATGTTCACTAAGATCTGCAGTTAATAGAACCACTTGAGAATAAAACATGATGAACCACACTACCATCACATCATATATCCATAATAATCAGGGAAAACTTTATTTCCAGCACATTGTGTTAAAGTTCATTATCTGAAAACCAACCAAACCAATGTTTTGAAATCGATATTGTTTGGTTTTTTGGTACATACCAAAATAAAATATAAAAACAAACCATATTAATTTTGAAACATAAGTTGCAACAACACAATGAATGAAGTTAGTAACATTTCCAGATAGCTTAGAAGCAATTCTACACCAACCTATAAAACGATGTCTTCACACTGAAGCTTGAAAGGAACTACAGATCAAAGTTATCATCATTGATGGATAAGAATCGGTATTTTGAAAGATTTAGCATGATTAGCTAACTCGTGAATTTAATAAAATATTTTCTACACCTCCATAACAATGGCACAACTTACTATGTATATTAGCTGAGAAACAAGCAAATGGATCCATAGAAAGCAGAAAATCAATAATACATAAACCTCCTGCCAACTTGTTTTGCATTCAGAAAAAAAAAGGGTTCAGTTTTCATGTTTATAGTACCAACTACCACCTTTGTTTTATTTTGATTTGTCAAAGTACAGTACAATATAAGACTTACCGAACTGTCTATCAACTACCCATCGAAGCTAAAACCAAAATATAGTATCATAAAACCCAAGTATATTTCAGACGAGTCTCTTTTCAGGATTGTTAATTCTCATTTAACATGGCGTGAACTAATTAATCAACAACCTTTCTACGTAAGGATTTAATTTTATGATTTGAAGCCATAAAATGCAAGAACAGATAGAAAAGCTAATACGGACAGAGAACATTCGAGCCTATTAAAAAGAGGGGGAAAAACTAAAGCAGTAACTAACCAAATAAAGTAAACTAAATATTAAAAAAGACAGAACGGTGCTTAACCAGAAAAGCATGTTTAACAGTAAGCTGCTTTTAGTCAACGAAAATACGAAATAAATTAACCATGATACGGGCTACAGGAGATAGTTTTACCTCGAAACGGTCTTCCAATAAAAAATTTGGGAGTGGACGCGAAAAGAAATCGAGAAGATCGTAGAATCAAAATCAACGCCTAGATCCCAAAATTCTAAGAGAAAACAGACCAGATTAAAAGCAATCAAGGAAGCGAGTGAGATTTCACGATGAAAGCCTACGTTCCCGCCAGCCGATTCTGCCAACAAAGAGATAGGGTTTGTCTGAAACTCGAACCCTAAAACCTCAAAACTTCGACGAAATCCCCAAAATTAAGAGCGAGCAGAGCATTGGACGGTTATTGAACAGCGAATATACCTATTTTCCCAATAGATCTACAGATCGAAGGGGAGGAAACGAATTCGGAAAGCCGAAACCCTAGAAACCAAAACGACCGAAACAATCTACAAATTGCAATCGATCGAACGAGGCAAACAGAAAAAGAGAGAGCGAAGATCTTATTGAGGCTAGCGGTCGACTCGGGATGGGGGTAAAGGCAGGAAATTTTCGAAATCCTAACCCTAATCGGATTAACGAACGGCGAGAGAGGAGAAGAGAAATTAATCGAGAGGGAAGGATAATTGATCGAAGAGAGAGTTGATTCGCAAATCGAAAAGACGGATTGAACAAGAATCTAGCTCGAAAAGGGGGAAATTGAAAGGGATAGGACGAAAAGGGTAAAGCTAGGGTTCGCGATTTTTTTTAATCGGCGGGACGAGAAAAAGGAACCCGGCTATGAACCACCGGAAACTCTTTTCACAGCGAATCCTAAATCACCAAAACCGGCTCGCATGTATTGATAATTACACGAAAGGCCCTAGATATAGTTTTTTTATGGTGCGTCGTTCTAAAGTGATCGGATATAGTGAACCATCAAAACCTACGCACCCCCTTGTAAATAGTTTATCTCTTCTATGTAAATGGACGGATCCACCCGTCCCGTGGACGTTCAAGTACATCGTGCTTGGGGGGGAGTCTCGGTATGCAAACAAGGTTATTTTAGTCATTTTCCTATCTTTTCAAAGTACAGCCATAACATGCACGTGTAGAGTGATAAATCGGTGGTACTCGTTGGTTTCTGTCTTTTCTGACAATTTCACATTTTACAATTATAAAAGCAATTAATTTTTTTTTTACCATGTAGAAAAACAACGAGCATATGCAATTCTTGGTTTTCTTCGCACCAGAGACAAAACCAACCTTGTTGTGTTAAGAGTTGCATAAACTGGATGTTTTCAGCATTTATTTATTTTTATTTTTTATTTTTCAATTTTATAGAAATGGGGTTACTTTTTTTTTTGGAATTCAAGTAGAATGAATTATAATATAATATAATGCATTAGATAAGCAATGTACTACGGTAGTACAAGAAATGAAGTAAATAATCAGAATTTTACTTTATTTGAAGCGAAAAAAAAAACCCCAAAGGGTTTTAATTTGTTGGCCTAATCTTGGATTTTTTTTGACACTGAAAATTAATCCCATTTTGATAATCTAACCAATTACAGCATTGAATCGCTTCTTATAAAGGAAAAAAGCACAGGAATCTTAATAATCATCCCATTTTGTATTATTTTATGAATAACAAAGATTTTCTACCAGTAAACCTTCATTTATACCACTAAAAATCTAATTAAACGTATACCTTACTCTAGCACATTATTTGATTATTACTAATTATCTTTGGCCTTTTTTTGTGTAAGATTGCTTTTTGAACTTGACCAGTCAATCTATAGTCCTTGAAACCGAAAGGACAACCATCATGGCTTCCCTATTACTATTTAAACCAAACCAGTACCAAAGAGTGTTAATGGACATAATAATCAGAGATCATCATCACCTTACCCCAACAATATAGGAACATCTTCGGATGATAGTATCAGTTTCGATGATGTCATCATCAAAAGATGTTYCCAATACATGGTGGGGATGTGCTGTGGGCAGCCCCTTGTGGGGTGGAGATGTGATCTCAACATAGTATCTGTTATATTAATCCTGTTTTGTCCTTGTTTAGTGTCACATCCATTGCTAAATGAATATAAGGCTGCATTTAGTTGCAGTGCAACTTTAATTGCATTAGTACAAATGAAAAAAAAAAGCAAGTTCTATTTTGTTTCAGGTCTTATTTTACTTCCTTTTTACTACAATCAAATAAAATAAGGTAAATTTTAAAATAAAAATAAATCAGAATTTATACCCAAATCATTTAAACTACCATAGGTTTGCATTAAGCAACCAAACACAGCCTAAGAATCAAAAGAATATCTCAATTTTCAGAAATTGTTGCTATCGTTTGGTAGCATACTATTATTATGTATGGATGAGAACTGAACTCCAGGTAAAGGGAGATTGGCCCCATACTATTATTATCGTTTGGTAGCATACTATTACATGTAGAAGACTGTCAGCATGTTGGGAGAAACAAGAATTCAGTCATGTGAGACATGATTTTTGGTGAAGCTTATCTAGTAGCTTCTTTAAAGCGGATCAGCTCAGCGAAAGCAGCTCAATTAAAGCTGAAGTCTTCCCGAACGGGCTCTAAAAAAAAAAAAACAAAAGAAAACTTATGCTTTCTACCTTATTTTGAATAAAACATCTGCATAAAACAGAATCAACCCCATACTCACCAAAGGAACCAAATGCTGTGGTGCCAATATCCACAGATCAGAGAATAATGAGGAGTCATTAGAAACTTAGTATGCACATGGCTGGGGTCAGTTGGGTGGTCCTATGCCACTGTGGGCACCATGCCTGGCATACATATATAAGAGAATGTCACTGTTGGCAGACAGTAGGCCTATGCCTATGGATATAGGCAAGATTCATCAATATCGTGAAAATCTTTTAAAAGATAATGTTTTTTTTTTTTTGATGAATTCTTTTAAAAGATAATTTTAAGAGACGTATAAGGATACACTTGACTGTTGGAAAACACTAAGACATTGTAGAATGATCATGATATGCATGAAAAAACACATAAACAACACAAATGGAACATGTTGATTGACTATGCATATGTTTGGCATCGATGTTGCAGATACTAAGAAAACGGTGCTGCTGATGTGTGGGTTGGAAGAACCGTTTTCTGAAAAAACGGTGTCTTTTTTTTTTGTTTAGAAACATTGTTGCCAGGTAGGACATTTTCTGGAGCAACAACAACATTTTCTATTTAGTACATGCTCTTGGAAACGTTTTCAGGGTACCTATTATCCAGTGCCACATCATGTACCTATCATAGTTGTCAAGGCCTAGGTGATTAGGCACCTTTGGCTGGGTGCCTCGCCCAAACGCCTCGACTTTTAGCAACTAAGCACCCTTCTAGGCGATTAAGCGCTTGCCTAGGTGACAAAAATGACAAGGTGGGCACTTTTTATAATATTATTTATATTGTTGTGTCTTATTAATGTATGTGTTAATACATTTTGTTATATGCTATATATCAATTATATTTTGTTTTAATGTTTTACTATTGAAATTTAAAAGACCAAAGGGTTTTGCGAAGAGAAAAAGAAAGAAAGAAAGGGGAAAGAAACAATAAAATAATAAAGTTAATTTTTTCTTTTCTCTCTAATTAAATAAAGCAGAAACTCCATCCTTTTTTTTCTATTTTACTTTCCATCTCGAATATTTATCGTATAAAGTTAATAACATTCTTTAGCTGATAATTAATATGAATTTGCTCTATTAAATACTTATTATAGTAGTATTATTTTTAAAAATAATGAAATTAATACATGTAAAAGATTTTTATCTTTTAGATGTGATGATTTACCACATTTTTAGAAGAAATTTATTGTTCTTAATAAAGAGAATTGTTATTTTTCAATTAACATATATAAAACTAGGAAATTAGCCAAAAGTCAGCTTTTGGCAGCAACGAGCTGCAGCTCATGTCCCTGTTGGCAACAACGAGCTGCAGCTCCAGGAAATGTCAAATCCGACGTTGCTCCAAGCCATGCCTTCCCGAGTTCTAAAGCGTAGCTTTGAGCACTGTTTTTTTTTTTTTTTATGAAAAAATGATTCCAAACAAATAGACGTTTACACACACTCACTCTTACAGCTCGTCTGAAATGATATATTGCAATCAACACACACAGGACATAAACCATTTGTAATTTACATCTGCATGCGCATTAACCCACTACAAAAAGTTAATATTCAAAATTAAATAATTTTGCATTACGCCTCCCAGCCCAAAAAAGGTTACGAATTTGAATATTGCCTATGGGATATAGTCATATGCTAGGCTTAGATCTCACATCTACATAACTTTCTCCAGAAATTAGGGTTACTTGCTTTCCAGTATTAATTGCTTAGAAGTTGTAAACAAAATGCAAATCCGATAGAACTTTTTTTTTTTTGCTATTTTCACTTTTCAGTAAACGTCCATTAGTTCCCCAACCTGCACAAGCAGCACAGTCATACACCCAGCGACATGTCCCGCTTTCACCCTCTAGTCTCTGTTGCTTGGACAAATATAAACCAAAGGTCCACATACACTGACAAACACCAACGTTTGTTGGTATACTCATCGTAGATTGGGAAATGGATCACATGGCTACTACAGTGGCTCTGCTATCCACTGCTGGTCTACAATCTAGATTAGCCCCATTAGCATCATTTCTTGATATGACAAAAATAGGATAGGATAGCTACTTAGGCAATTAGGCTACAGAACGATCTGAAGTGACGCATTTGGAAAACCTAAGTAGCCAATGCTAGAGAAGCCTAACTGTCCGAAGTGACCAAAAAATCCTAACAGCAAAACTTTTCTTCCTTTTTTTTTTTTCTTATTTTCATTTTTCTTTACTTTGATTGCTAAGAGGATAATATATTAATATTATGATTCCCATGTATAATGCAGAGTTGCAAAAAATGAAGCAGTTATCACTTAAATTATTTGCTTTACAAAAAAATGTTATGTTTATAGATACAACCCAACAGCCTAAAATTGCATTTTTCTGAAGTGTGAAGGATGCACTCCGGGAGATTCATGCCATTTCTCATATACATACCTGTGAACAACAGGCAAATCAAATAACAACCATTTACATTGACAACTGTGTGAATAAAGTCGTTCTAATCAGACTAAAAATAAAAAAATAAAAACACATGGAATCTGAATAATGCAGCTAGTCCCCTGATAGGGAAGCCTGAGAAAAGCTGCCAAAGGACCAACATCATGCCTCACGTTCAAACAGCCTTATCCATCACCTTCCTGTCAAAAGAAAGGAAAGGACAAATTGAACAAACTTCAATGAGAATTTATTGAAGATGATTTAAACCATACCATGCATTTGCTACACATGCTAAAATGTCCAGTGCCACTTCAATGAGAATTTATTAGATCCATGTACTAACATGAAAAGAATGCAGCATCTCAGAAGATCACAAGTCCAATATGGTCAGCTTCACAGATTCAATATTGCACTTCCTAACCAGCAATATGGAGTTGAAGTTGACAAACAAGAAAGCACAAAAGCAAGTGCTACAGATTTATACTTTGAGAAAGAGGACTAATTTCTGTGATCTCTCAAATCAGGAGTGCTTGAACTAACAATATTTTGTACCATATCACGTTTTCACATATTGCATTTGTTTGAAGGACACTTTGTGCAAAGTCTACTTAAATATTCAATAAACTAGTAGTCTTAAATATAATTAGTATTTGATGAGGAAGAAGGGTTGATAAAGACCTGGACTTTCCCACATTATCATTGATGCACCTCCTCACTTACTATGTAATAGCATCAACTAATCAATCAATGGATGCACAGGCTGAGCCTTCTTTTAATCAGTAAAACAGTCAAAGAGACAATTGCAAAATTAAATGAAAAAGAGAGATATACCCTCTTCATCTTTGTTTAAAGATAGGTGAGGGAAACACAGTGACAACCACTGACAGCAAAAGCTGAATCTTGACATAACAGACTTTCAAGAGCAGATCAATTGGCCATATCTAAGCACTGGATATGTGGATATTTCTCCTGATTGTTAACTTTGATTTTATTTAGTCATGCTATCATTGCTCTGGAGGTATCCTATCAACCAAAAGGTCTGAATTGGTAAGAAGAGTCACCTTGATTTGTGGCATCAGTACTGAATGAAGTGTTCAGACTGATATATCCAGCATATCATGGCATGGGGACACTACCATAAATCATTATTAGATTACATAATTAAACTAGGAATATTTGTGAAAATATAAAATAAGAAAAACTCAGAATATGAGCATATCAGCATGGAACCCTGTCTAATAGTTCAAATTGTGTATGTTTTTGTATTGACTCCACTTAGAGCATATCAGCATGCTCAAGTATTGTACAAAGCACCAACATGAGGTTCAAGTGTCAAAAAAGCTAGGCCAACTAATTTTGAGGTATCCTAATTATACATCCCTCAAACAGCAGTGGCAACACAAGGCACATGTTCCAAGGAAAAATGAAAGACTAACTTGGTTTCAACTGGACAGACTCAAGATATTGGTGGGTTAAATTATCTCTGTCTGTATTTTAAGATGGAAGCCACTTTAAAGCAATATATATCTGATATAATATGGTCTGAATATAGGTCCTGCCATGTATGCATGTTTCTATAGGATCTGATCCATAATCTGGCCTAGATGTGCAAATGGGACTGAATCTGGATTCACCCTTGAAGAGTGAACCAAGATCACCAAAATCCATAAGCATATTCCCCATTTGGATGTGAGCCTAGATTTCTCTGGATCCACTCCAGATTTTTCATGCTCTCGTCTCTCGTCTACAACTTATGAAACACATGTGTTTATACATCTGTTAACCTTTTATGGCATAAGCACCAACTTGCCTTGTAGGCCAAGATGCATAAGCATCACCCAGCTACTTTAGCTTCACAATTTAGCCCTAGTGAACTATTTTAAAATGGAAGCTCACCCTAGAATTTCCACCTTGTGCTTTAGCTTCACATTTGCCCACATCAATACATATTTCCCATAATGTTCTTCACCTTATTAAGTCTTCTTGTAATACAACTGTTCATTTTGTCATCCATATTCTTCTATCAATAGACTTGGTTTATTCTTGTCTAGAATACCTTAACAAGTTAAGACTAATAATTCAGAGTTTTAGCAGGATAGTGACAAACACTTGGAAGAAAAAAAAAATCTTGGACGAAATCTCCAACTTCCAGTTCAGGGATATGCAGTAAGGTTTTTGAAATATAATAACTCCCTCAACCATCCGTTCCAATCTAAAGCACCAGTGACTCCTGATAGGATATCTGATTTGGATATTCAGGAAATGTCATAGGAAGATCAGTTTTCAGAGGTATGGGATAAGGTTTTTTAACAATTTTTTTATTATATATTGAAGCCTATAGTGGTTGTTATTAGATTCTCTCTATTTGTGTGTATTCTACATTTTCTTCCTTCTGCCTGTCTGCTATTATATGGTGGCTGCATGCGGACCATTATAAATTGAGCTTTTCTCTTTGTAGGAAAATGTTTTCCATACAGTTCCTCCTAGTGCAGTGGAAAACTACAGAAAATTTGTTGAATCTTATTAGGCTCAATATGAGGTATGCTTGCCAATATATTCTCTACATATATTTTCTATTTATTGGAAAAGTAACTTTTTTTCTACATGTTTTTTCTTCACAAAAATATATTGGCTATAGAAGCTGAAAAGAAAGAGAAGAAAATTCACACACATACACAAAGCATTCATTCAACTATAGGAATATTGAGATGGAAGGCAATCTCAGAATGATAGTAGACTGGTTTCAAATTGATAGCTAAAGCACATGTCATTACAGATTCATAATAAGGGAGGTGAAGCAATTGGCTATGCAAGTAAGAATGGCATATATCTGAGTGCAGATATCAACAAGTAGGCTTTGCTGATGCATTGAGTTGACAAGGAGTGCAGAGAAAGCAATTTTTTTTGGTAACTTCTCTTTCTGTGATTGTTTCTAAATATGTAAATGAAGAAACATATAATTCATCAAAAAAAAAATGAACATATAATGAGTTAGGTAGTGGGGCTGGTTCAAATGTTCTTTTTAGGGGTTCTGGGAACACATTTGACAAGTGTTCCTTTGAGGATAGTTTCAGTTGTTGAAAGCATTGTTCCACAAACAATTGGTTGGTTCACAAGATGAATAGCATGTGTTTTTGGGAATTATATGCTTAATGACTTTGTAAGATGGGTCTGTTCTCATACATTTAAAATTGGTATTTCTTTTATTTGTATGCTATATATATATATGTATATATATCTTTCATATATTAGTTGGTTCATTCCAGCAAAGATCAGGATTCGAATCCCGCTATCACAACTTTTATTATTCTTCTTCCTTATAGTTTGTAGAGAACACTGATGTGGGCCCCACAGCTATGGTCCCACTGTGTTCGTAGGGTAGAATGTGTTCTAGTCATCCTAGGGTTATCTGGTGGTCAGTCGGTTATTTCAGTTGTTATTTATTTCAGTTTTATTTTGTTCTATTTGTTCTGTAAATACTAAGGGCAGATCTGTCCTTTCCATGTAATGAGCATAACCTATAAATA